TAATTTTGTTCAAGCACAATACAATTTACACACTGTTTCTATTTTGAATATAGCAGAGAAAACCCCACAAATTTTAATGCGAGTTTGCTTGGTACTATTTGGGTTGCTGTCATTGGTTCTTTTTTGACCATTCACGTGCAAATGGGGCGTGTTATGAAAAGGGGCATTTTACAAAATACCGGACCTTGCTTGCAGGCCCACTATTCTTCCCTTGGGCCTGCAACCTTGGGCCTGCATGATGCGGGCTAGTACAATATTTTATCAATACTTCCATTGCAACAACAGAAATTGAGGTCATCAAATTAATTTTTAAAAATAAATGGGAGAAAGTGGGAAAAAGTAGGTGTCACTTTTCACACAGTTAATAGAAGGCTGGTTAGGCTAGCCAGTGACGTCACAAAATATAAATTGTTCACTTTTTATTTTGGTCATGTGACCAATATCGTGCATCGATGCTGAAAGCGCATATACAAATAACAATATAATTATTGTACTCACAAACTCGAGGGCTTTTTTTGCATATAATCTGGCTTTCCAAGCTCTCAACCACTCGATCAACACAGGGAAATGTAATGCCTGGCTCGAGCTGCGTTTTTATAGGTGTTTGACAAGTAGAAAGTATAAACTTTCGTCATTTTGAATCCCTATCTGTCGCCTCCTCAGACAGCGACTATACGAAATTTTTCAAGCAAAATGCGCAAGCAGAATGGCTTCGTTTAATATTAACACAGTTAAGAATTGAACGAGAGAATCGACGCCTGAGTTACAGAAGAGGATCGATGCTAACAATATTTATATTTGTGAGCTTCATTTTAAGCAAGAATGTATCAAAGCGCTTACAAATCTGTAATTTGATAAACATACAAAGCGTGTACTGTGTTTTGCTAAAAAATTTACATATTTCAGGAGTACAAAAAACTTTGTTACTGACAGCGTTCCCACTGAAAGACTGCTGGAAAGAAGCTATGCATTACCCAAACGTGAGCGCCGAAAACTCGTGCGAAATGAGCTTGAAATTTCCCATGAATTCCGGTGCAAGACACGGCGTTGACTTCAAAAGTGCAGTCTATCAAGGAACTGTAACATTTAACTTGCTAGCCGAGTACATTTGTTTGGTACTTTAAGATACAAAATTTAGAACATGCACATTTTTTTATTCCGTATTGCATAAATGTGCTCAGCCTCAGTGCATGGGCAGGCTATATATTGCTTTGGCTGGATATACAAAATACCTGTACTTATACCTGTCATATAATTTTCAGCCATATACTGTAGATATTAGGGTTACAATACTATGTGGCGAAGATTGATGTGGTCAAAGATATTTCAAATGTTCCTTCTTTGATACACATGTCACATAGCATATCTGGATGATCTGTCGTATAACTGATACAACAAGACTGCATGCATGCAGGCAAAAATATTCTTGATCTTGTACAATGTCAGGTCGATTCAGATACAATTATGATAGGCTATATTGCAAAGGTTTCAAAGGTTTATTATATGTCAATTATTGACAAATCTAGCAAAGAATGAACAGATTGAACAGTCATTTACATTACAGGGTTATATATCATCACAATGATATCATAAGTTGAAAAATTTACATATAGGCAATAACACATAAAACTCTTCTAACATTTTGTCCTGATTTTTCATGAGGAAAGACTTGTTCTTATTTGACGAGACTTTCTTGAGAGCAGAGTTTATATCGGGTCCGAATAAGTCTTCTTTTATTAGCTTTGTTTTAATGTCGATGACAATAGAAGCTAGATTCTCTTTCGAAAGACGTGTTTCCTTTTCGGCAGATTTTGTTGTGCTCGAAGGTATTAAATCAACAGCATCATGATGCTGCGAGTTTGTGTGTTTCGTCAAGCTAGCCGAAAAACGGGAGTTTTGACTTGCAGATGTTTGTGTATTGGGGGCAGGGAAACAATTTTTTACTCTCATTTTCGCTTATAGCCTCGACAAATTCAGCGTCGTCTTCATCACTTTCCGTATCAACACAGAAACATCGAGGTTATATAATACATAGTCGATTGAGTCACTTGGTGTTTCGAACTCCACGTCTTCAACAACAATTTCTGGCTCGCAAAACTCCACATCTCCCTCGTTAGCCATGTCATAGTCTTGTTCACGTTCCATTTCATTCTCCATAATGTTTTCGTGGCATTTGAGCCACAAGTTAGGAAATTATATAGGATTTCATACAGCGTTATTGTAATTTGACAGTGTAAATTATGGTATTGCCATTTGCACGATGCATTATATTCGTCATGTGACTTTAATTTTGGCTGTGGATCGACATCATTTTCCACTCCCTTTGAAGTTTGCCGGCTAGCCTAACCAGCCTTCTTCTATTAACTGTGCTTTTCATTATGTTGAATTTTTTTTTAAACTGCTCTCACAATTTCTGGTAAAGCATGTGACCAGTTTCTCCCCTACCAGTTTCTCGCATTGGTGCTCAACTCGATCACTAAATCTAAAATCGTTACGGGCCAGATCATACTCACAGAATATTAAATCTGGTTTCAAATCATTCATTTGTGCATTCAGAGCATTATCACCAAATAACAAAAACCTTCTTTTGTACATTCTAAATTGTCAGGATCACCATCAGAATCTGAATCATCATAGTAGCAGTAACAGTTGTTTCAATTATACTATCCATTCTATAGGGAGAAAAAATTGTAACCCTTGAGTTTCGTCCATGAACATGCAAATTTATCTTGACAAGTAAAATTGTCTGGGCAGGGCACATTGCATACATGGAAACCTAAATAGATACAAATACAGGTTCAGTATATGCTGAGTAATGCAGGCTCAAAAATTTACCTTTATTGACAGTCAAATACAGTAAGGATCATGGATGTATGATTTTACCTGTAGCTCGATTTATATAATTACTAACTCCTTTATTTTTTTAAATGGGCAAAGTTTATTTTTTAATGAGTCAAACTGGTGAGTTAATAACAGAGTTGACTGAGGCATTTTAAAAGAATAATGCTGACAACAACAAAAATATTTCCTACAATACTGTATTGTTTGGTCGCCAGTGAAGGAAACAAAGCTTTATAGGTAATATATAGTGTATTAATGACCCAGATCACAGGATCAAACAAGTCAACACATGACATGATGCAGTGGAAGTGAATGATGATTTTATTTATACCTTGCGAGATCACTTGCTCTGAGCGTAGAATCAGAAAGTAGCCGCCGTTTACTAGGAGGAGACTCACAAGGTTCACTAGTTTTGCCAGGAACAATATTGTCTGCAACTGGGGTAGACATCATCACTAGGAATGTATAGGACAAAATAAATGTTACTTTGTATTACTGAATGTCAGCCATGCCATGTCAGAAATATAAGAACAGAACATGAATGAATGATGCAATTAAAACAGACTTACAAGGTTGTGCTTGAGTACATGACGATTCTCCGGAAACAGGCGACAGTATAGGCGATGGCATTGACGTATCAAACGGGTTTGACCTTGTGTTTGACATTTCAACATCACTAAACATATAAATGTTTAGTTGTTTACAGCCTTTCGGTAGATTAATAAATGAGATCAAAGTATTAACGCAAATAATTACTAGTCGTCTGACACCATTCTACGTACATAATTTTAAATACTCATTATATAGTTATATATGATAGTATAAACATATAGTTTATTATAGTCTACATACCGAGGTATAGGACGACGATCTCTTCGGGAAAAATAGTCATTCAGCAAAACCGCTGTGAGCTGTTCATCGCTGGCAAGATTTTATTCTTCTTTTAACTGTCTCCCAGGAGCGAATTGCTCATACAAGTAGATTCTTGACTTTGACCTTTTAGTTTCATAAGCTTTTCACCTTTCTTTTGCCACCAGACTCTTCCCGGGCCGGCATGTTTTTTGTTGTGATCTAATTAAGCGAGTACTTCATGTAGTCTATATTATGATATTGTTTACATGCGAACCCCACATAACAACATTGTTTGTCATGCGAACCCCGCATAACAACATTCGACTGGAGATTATCTTTAACACTTGGGTCAATAGGGTTGGATCAATTTTTCCGTTTAATAGTGTATGTGTATTCCCCAAAATAGGCTGCAATTTGTAAGAGTGCTAGTATTATTATTAACCCCAGCATGGAATTTTGCATTTATATAAAAAGAATCTCATATCAAACTTAACATTTATGTATTCTATAATAAAAGCTTAAACGTCTCCCTAGTTTAAAGTACAAGTGTTTGAAATTATACATTAAGATGACTTGAAAACAGCCTACAGTTCAACACAGTAACTATAAATTCACACACTGCAACACAAATCAACCTTTTACAGAAATAGTAGCATCGTTGCAACAATCTTTGATCAGTTGAAATTTGTAGCGGTTGAGGTCGCGACGATCAATTGCAATAATTGTCAAAATCAACAGTAATTGGAAACGTTATTATATGATATTATTTGGAAACTTTGGAAATTGGAGTTTATCGAAAACCTTAACACAATCTCCAACGTTTAAGTAACACAAATAAAGTTTGTAGACCAAATAAAAAAAATTGAAATGGATATTGATCAGATAAATACAAAAATTTAAAAAGATAAAACAGAAATTCAAATGCAACAATTTGTAGCCATAGGGCAGGGCACTGATTTCAAAATATTTTAGTACTGACAATAACAATATTAAAACCGATACATAAATTGTGAACTGCATCTACAATAAAAAGTTGTTAGATTAAAAGTAACGGACAACATAAAACAGTACTATGCCATGCTTGCTTAGGTACAGATAACAAACTGTCAAACTACAGGAAATAAAGTCAAATTAGTGATGTATGTCCCACCAAGTGATCTTTGCACATGCTCAATAGAAAGTCGTTTGTTTGCTTGCAGTGGTTCACTGGTTTTTCCTCAGCTCCGAAACCACTGCCAGCAGGGCAGACCTATTTCAATGTGGCTACAGAATAAATATTCTTTACATTTTAATTTAACAATAAACATTTACATTTTAATGAATGATGAAAGTGACCACTGGGAACTGTCTGCAGTTTACGATTCTAGATTCTTATAATTTTAATATATTTGTTATAAATATCATCTTAATTAATGGATGAAAGTTCATGAGAAGGGCAGAGGCTGTTGTGTACTGGAACATATTGCTTAGATTTTTTACTACATTGTAAGAAATCACCACACTCGTAGACTTTTTAATCCACATACTGTAGTTGTTAAATGAGTTGTATTCATATATAACTATAATTATATAATCTATTAGTATTAATGTAAGTTAGGGGGACTAAAATAAAATCCTGTAGACCTTTCTAGTTGTCTCCTAGCCCTGTATTGTAATTATAATCGAAAATTAATGTAATTAGCTATTTTGGGTAAATTACATAAAATTACAAATTATAAATCTGGATATCCTGCGCAAGTCGAATTCAATAATTGTTTTATTATTATTCATTCTGTGACACAAAGAAGCAAAACAAGCGGAATAAATATTCTTTATATTTTAATTTAACAATAAACATTTACATTTTAATGAATGGTGAAAGTGACCACTGGGAACTGTCTGCAGTTTACGATTCTAGATTCTTATAATTTTAATATATTTGTTATAAATATCATCTGAATTAATGCATGAAAGTTCATGAGAAGGGCAGAAGGCTGTTGTGTACTGGAACATATTGCTTAGATTTTTTAATATATTGTAAGAAATCACCACACTCGTAGACTTTTTAATCCACATACTGTAGTTGTTAAATTAGTTGTATTCATATATAACTGGAGTGGTATTTTCAGAAGTAGCTAATACACTAGATGAAATAAATTATAACAACCGCATAGAGGATTTCATCTTAATATCTGCTAGACTGCTGTCTGCCTGTCTTTGACCATAATATCAGGCTGCTGGAGTGCCACCTGTACCAGTATATTGGAAGCTTGTATTACTTGCATGTTGCAAACATCACTAGTTCACTACCTACAGCTTATTATTCAGTTATGTCATTTTTTCTCATTTTCTTCCTTTCTTTCTCTTTACTTTTTTTCTGTTGAGACTTTTAAGTTTTACCCTCCATTTTTCTCTGCCAACCTCAAAACTTTTCTGGGACCAATGGTCCTGTGGTCCGCTATATTATGCAGCCCTGGCCAGTGCAGTTGACAGCTTGAAATGATTCCAATGAAAGTTCAACAAGTTTTATCCCTGTGGTATTTTGATGGCACAGCATTTTTTGTTCATATTCTTGTACTGCTGTTGCATGTTGCGCTCCAACCATTTTTGTGGCTTTTGGTTTTGTTATGTCATGCTTTACGCCAACAAGGACTATTACCTTCTCGAATATTCTCCTTTTTGATGAAATTATGTTTAAATACGAAACAGCAAAACAGATTAAATGTTTTCAATATTTCATAAAAAAGTTGTATAATTCCCTGTAAATGATGTTTGCACACTTACATCCCCATATTTTATAGGTTTAACATAGGAAACTGATCGTACTAGCTTGGCCTGAAATGTACCAGAAGAAGGTGTATTGCTATTTGATAATGCGTTGACAGTTGATGCTAGAGGATGTGGTGTTTGAGAAATTTTTCGTTTTCATCTTCCTTTAAAGAACTGTAACACTGACATTATACAGTGCATTATCAGACTATGCAGTGCTGAGATGTAAAAACTGCCAACTTCTGGGTTGGGGGAGGTGGTAATTTACATTGACTGGTATTGCACACTAAATAGTTATGGGGTGCCATTGATCAGATGAACAGCTGCCAGTTCCAATTTCTCAGGACTGCTATTCTAAACTGCAGTGATTCAAAACATTGTCTAAACATGCTCTAGCGATTATGAGTATTGTTTTAACTTTGCTACACGCTCAACTTCCAAGGAGGTATAGTGACTATAAATGTAGATATAAATATAAAATATAAATCTTACTTTAAAATTCCATCATAGAAAATGCAGTTTGCCTGCCTGGGAAATAAACGTTACTGTGAGCTAATTATAGCCTGTATTAAAATATTCTATTAAGGCCAAGTAAAAAAATTCCCTGTTTCTCATCCGTACCCTCATTAGGAAATAGCCGCCACATTTTTTTATAAATAATAATTACATGAAGTTTTTAGCGATGGGTGGTCAACAGTGTAACATTTTATGCAAATGGCCGCCATCCTCATGTTTTCTTAATAAATACTGTATTAATATATATATACTGTTATGGTTTTTGTTGTACTAAGAATATGCAGCCAAGCGAAAACACTGAACAATTGGTTTGGGTTGTTCGGTGCTAGATACTTCTACGTTTTTGGATGTTTACAGTGAATTTTCCTCAGGAAACTTGAAGGTAAACCAATACACGAAGAGTTGAACACTGCCATTACTCATCTTTCCGTACAAAAATCAATCGGCGTCCCAGCAATTGATGTGCAGCCAAACCTGCAGATCGTTGATGCCATTTCGAGCTTGGGTATATATGTGGACTACTGAGTAAGCCCTGCAAAAAATATCAACGATGAAGGTGTCTTCCCTGCAACAGCTGAAGATAAAGATGGTATAAGTGATCAAACTTCAGCCTTTACCATTCTGATGAATTCTGCTGCAGAAAGCATGAACCTCTCTTCTTTTTCCCTGGACCTCAGTGGTAAAATCAACACCAAAATGAAAAATGACATAATTGATTTTACAAGTCCGCACAAAATGCTTCGGGTATTGGAATCCAATTTGTAAACACATTAGCTGAATGTATGTGGTATCTAAATGGCCACCATGACACTTTAGCCAAGAGAAGTTGCGAAGTGCCAGCAGAACTGAACTTTCTGTCTCGATACAACATACCTGAGAGCTACAAACACAGAAAAAGGCATGTAGATTCACTCATTCACTTATTACTGAACACTCTATTGGCTTGCTGAACTTGACCGAGATGTGGAGTTTGTGCTGTGCTTTTAAAACTGGCAGGTCAATCTACGCAAGTATGCAACATATCTGCAGCACCAATGCGAAGAGTCCAACAAACACCACAGTGCCAAACAAACAAACTTTGTATTTGGAAATACCAGTAAACACTGGATCTTCCCCTGGATGTTTTCAGATTTTAGAGCCCAAATACACGTCAAAGCCAACACTCACTACCAGATACAAGCCCTTGGCAGATGCCCTTTCAGCATTGGAGGACTTTATACCACTATGTGTAACCATGTTTGCTCCGATCAAGCCATGAAGGAAATATGAATATCTTAAAGCAATGTTCCTGCCTTTTCCTGTGGTGAAATTAATTCATACATCAGCACGCTAAAATATGGTATTCTTGTGGAAAATTCCTTGGTCTGCTTCTGCTATTGAACTTGGCATAACATTTTCTCTTCGGGAGAAAAAAAATGCTGACGGGAAGGCTAGTGGAACATACAACTGGAGTAGCCTGGTTGGATCTGACAAAAAAAACTGATGAAATATTTGCCAGAAAAACTGGAAGCACA